GGCGATGGCGTCCCTCCTGCTGGCGGCGAGCCTCCTCCTGCTGCTGGCGGCGTCCCCGGGGGCGCGGGGGGGCAACATCCTGGTGTTCCCGGTGGACGGCAGCCATTGGGTGAACATGAACCTGCTGCTGCGGGGCCTGCACGCGCGCGGCCACCAGCTCACCGTGGTGCGCACGGCGAGCAGTTGGTACGTTAAGGAGCGGGCGCCGCACTACCGCGCCGTTACCGTGGCGCTGCCGCACGCCATCGACATCGAGGAGCCCGACTTCTTCGTGCGCTTCCTGGGGAAGATGCTGGAGATCCGGAGGCAGGGCTCCGTCCTGGGCCTCCTGAGGTTCTACTGGGAGATGCTAGGTATGGAAGTAAATGTGTGCCGTCAGAATTTGACTAAGAAATACCTCTGAGATTTGAATGTTGTATATTAGTGCTTACTTTTTCAGTATTAAAATAAATTCAGAATATTAGGTGGATGTTGGACAGGGCGCCTAGTATGGAAGTAAATATGTGCCATCAGAATTTGAATAAAAAATACCTCTGAAATTTGAATGTTGTATATTAGTGCTTGCTTTTTCAGTATTAAAATAAATTCAGAATATATTTTTAACCTAAAAATTTAACCTGGCGGTGGATGTTGGACAGGGCGCTTAGTATGGAAGTAAATATGTGCCATCAGAATTTGATTAGAAAATACCTCTGAAATTTGAATGTTGTATATTAGTGCTTACTTTTTCAGTATTAAAATAAATTCAGAATATATTTTTAACCTAAAAAAAATTCAATGTCATTATTTGTACATTAAAAAACAATTCAGTGTAATTTTTTTTACATGGTTGCAATTTTCAAATTTTTTAAATCAGGCTTTAAGATAATGTCTCAAACTTCATGCGCAAAATAAAATATACTACAGAAATATGAAAGCATTAAACTCACCGTTGGGTTTGAGTTAGCCTGGGTGATACTGGTACTTCTTCAATATGACGGTTGTGTCACGTGATTAGGGGGATGTTGGAATCGGACATCCATTGCTAATGTCTGTGACCTGAAGTAACCTTAGATTTCCCATCTAAGGACAAGATACCACAATTGTCAGGTAGCTGTGATCGAGCTTTTGCGAAAACCATAAACTTTGTTTTCTGCGTATTCAAAACCAATTTTAAACTTAACAATGTCTTTTGTAGTGCCTGAAATGCCACCTGAAGTTCCTGTACAGCCCCTGAAATGGTGGGGGCGTGAGTGTAAACCACTGTATCATCAGCATATAAATGTAATTTTGCTTGAACATCTGTACCTAAATCATTTATAAAAATTGAAAACAGAATGGGCCCCAGAATAGATCCTTGTGGGACCCCTTTGGTTATCCCAAGAAATTCAGATTTATAACCTTCTGCATTGACACATTGTGTGCGATCTACAAGATATTTCTGGAACCATGTAACAGCCTTTGCACATAAGCCAACTGATCGTAATTTATTCAATAACAATTCATGATTCAATCGAACGCCTTGGAACGCCTTGGAAAGATCAACAAACAAGAAATTATTATATATTTTATATTTTTATTATTATATTTTTAATGTACAAATAATGACATTGAATTTTTTTTAGGTTAAAAATATATTCTGAATTTATTTTAATACTGAAAAAGTAAGCACTAATATATAACATTCAAATTTCAGAGGTATATTTTTTATTCAAATTCTGATGGCACATATTTACGTCCATACTAGGCGCCCTGTCCAACATCCACCGCCAGGTTAAATTTTTAGGTTAAAAATATATTCTGAATTTATCTTAATACTGAAAAAGTAAGCACTAATGTACAACATTCAAATTTCAGAGGTATTTTTTACTCAAATTCTGATGGCACATAGGTATTTTTTATTCAAATTCTGATGGCACATATTTACTTCCATACTAGGCGCCCTGTCCAACATCCACCGCCAGGTTAAATTTTTAGGTTAAAAATATATTCTGAATTAATTTTGATACTGAAAAAATATACAACATTCAAATTTCAGAGGTATTTTTTATTCAAATTCTGATGGCACATATTTACTTCCATAAATTTCAGAGGTATTTTTTATTCAAATTCTGATGGCACATATGTACTTCCATACTAGGCGCCCTGTCCAACATCCACCGCCAGGCCAGCCTTTTGGGGGCGGAGCTCTTTGAGAACCGCGCCCTGATGGAGGGCCTGAGGGCGGCGAAGTTCGACCTGGTGCTAATGGACCCCGGTTTGCCGGTGGGGGTTCTGGTGGCGCACGAACTGGGGCTGCCCACCGTGTTCAACGTGCGCTGGATCACCAGCGGCGAGGGCCACTTCGTGGTGGCGCCCTCGCCCATTTCCTACGTCCCCGCCTCCGGCCACGCCGCCACCGACCGCATGGCATTCTGGGAGCGCGTGGCTAACGCGCTCTTCTACGTCCTGAACGCCTGCATCGACCGCCTGGTGGTCTGCCCCCACTACGACCGGCTGGTGGAAAGGTACCTCGGCATGTTTTCCCCGTAAAGCGCTATAAATGGTTACTGATTTAGCTAATTAGCATGTTTTGCCCTGTAAAGCATCCTTAATGGTTACTGATTTAGCTAATTAGCATTTTTTACCATGTAAAGTGCCATAAATGATAGCAGATTTAACTAATTGGAATATTTTTGCCCTGTAAAGTGCCAGAACTGATGACTGATTGAGCTATTTAGCATCTTTTTCCCCAATGAAGCACCACAAATGATGTGTGATTTTTTTCTCTATAAAACGCCATCAATGATGTCTGATTTAGCTAATTAGCATTTTTGGCCCGATAAATTGGCATGACTGATGTCTGATTTAGCTTATTAGCATTTTTTTCCCTATAAAGCTACATAAATGGTTACTGATTTAGCTAATTAGCATTTCTGACCCATAAAGCACCATAAATGATAGCAGACTTAGCTAATTAGCATTTTTATGCCCCGTAAAGCGCCATAAATGATGATTGATTTAGCAAATTAGCACCGTTGCCCTATAAAGCGCCATATATTATGTTTGATTTAGCTAAGTAGCATTTTCTGCTCCATAAATGATGTCTGATTTAGCTAATTGGCATTTTGTCCTTATAAAGCACCATAAATGGTTACTGATTTAGCTAGCTAATTAGCATTTTTTGCTCTATAAAGTGCCATAAATGATGACTGATTGAGCTACTTAGCATATACTGGTGGACAGGTACCTCAGCATGTATGCCCCACAAAGCACCATAAATGATAGCAGATTTAGCTAACTAGCATTTTTTGCTCTATAAAGCACCATAAATGATAGCAGATTTAGCTAACTAGCATTTTTTGCTCTATAAAGCACCATAAATGATAGCAGATTTAGCTAACTAGCATTTTTTGCTCTATAAAGCGCCATAAATGATGACTGATTGAGCTAACTAGCATACTGTATGCTGGTGGACAGGTACCTCGGCCCGGACGTGAGCTTCTACCACCTGCTGCAGGGCGCCGACTTCTGGCTGATGCGCGTGGACTTTGTGTTCGAGTTCCCGCGGCCCACCATGCCCAACGTAGCGTACATCGGCGGGTTCCAGTGCGGGCCGGCGCGGCCGCTAGCCCCGGAGCTGGAGGCGTTCGTGCAGAGCTCCGGGGAGCACGGCTTCGTGCTAATGTCTCTGGGCACGCTAGTCCAGGGCCTCCCGGCGGACATCACCGCGGAGATAGCCGCCGCCTTCGCCGCCATCCCTCAGAAGGTGGTTTGGCGGCACGCGGGCGAGCGCCCGCCTAACCTCGGAAACAACACGCTGCTGCTGGACTGGATCCCGCAGAACGACCTGCTGGGCCACCCGAAGGCGCGCGCCTTCGTGGCGCACGGCGGGACCAACGGCGCGTACGAGGCCGTGTTCCACGGCGTTCCCGTGGTGGGCGTCCCGCTGCTGTTCGACCAGTTCGAGAACGTGCTAAGGCTGCAGGCGCGCGGCGCCGCGCGGGCGGTCGACGCCGCGGCGCTAACCCGGGAGAGCTTCCTGGAGGCGCTAGAGGACGTGCTGCACAATCCCAGCTACCGGGAAAGCATGCGGCGCCTGTCGGACCTCCACCGCGACCGGCCGATGGCGCCCCTGGACACCGCCATGTTCTGGGTGGAGTTCGTCATGCGGCATGGGGGCGCCGCTCACCTGCGCACCGAGTCCTTCAGGATGAGCTGGCTAGCCTACCACTCCGTGGACGTCTGGAGCTTCCTGGGCGCCGTCCTGCTGGTGCTAACGGCGGCTATCGTTGGGTCGCTACGGTTCCTCTGCCTCCGGGTGTGCGGGAGGAGGAAGGCCAAGCAGGAGTAGCTAGTTAGCATGTTTTCCCCCTATAAAGCACCAAAAATGATGTTTGATTTGGCTAATTAGTATTTTTTTCCACTATAAAGTGCCATAAATTAGCTCTGATTTAGCTAATTAGCATTTGTTGCCCTATAAACTGCCGTAAATGATGTTTTGTTTGATTTTGCTAATTAGCATTTTTGTCCACTATAAAACGCCATAAATTAGCTCCGATTTAGCTAATTAGCATTTGTTGCCCTATAAGCTGCCATAAACGATGTTTGATTTAGCTAATTAGCATTTTTTACACTATGAAGCGCCAAAAATTATGTTTGATTTAGCTAATTAGCATTTTCCCCCCTATAAAGCGCCAGAAATAATGTCTGATTTAGCTAATTAGCATTTATTTCCACTACAAAGCGCTATAAATTAGCTTTAATTTAGCTAATTAGCATTTGTTGCCCTATAAACTGCCAAAAATTATGTCTGAACTTTTAAAATGACGCATCCAAACACATTAAAAGGCAAAAAAAGTGAGCAAGGTGACTGTACTTTCTACTTCTTACATTTGGTTTTCATTTTCTGTGTTGCTGTTTGTTTAATCATTTGATATATGAATGTATTTTTTAGTGCTATCTGTGAATAAAGATGGATATTAAATGTGAGAGGCCGTTTATTTTGATTTCAAGGCTTTTGACTGATGGGAAAACGTATGATTAATGTCTAAAGCACATTAAGAGACGGCTCCAGGGAAAGCACACGGCGCCTGTCGGCCCTCCACTCCGTGGACGTCTGGAGCTTCCTGGGCGCCGTCCTGCTGGTGCTAACGGCGGCTATCGTTGGGTCGCTACGGTTCCTCTGCCTCCGGGTGTGCGGGAGGAGGAAAGCCAAGCAGGAGTAGCTAATTAGCATGTTTTCCCCCTATAAAGCACCAAAAATGATGTTTGATTTAGCTAATTAGCATTTTTTTTCACTATAAAGCACCATAAATTAGCTCTGATTTAGCTAATTAGCATTTGTTGCCCTATAAAGTGCCCAAAATTAGCTCTGATTTAGCTAATGAGCATTTCTCTCCACTATAAAGCGCCATAAATTAGCTCTGATTTGGCTAATTAGCATTTTTTACCCTTTAAAGTGCCAAAAAGGATTTTTGATTCAGCTAATTAGCATTTTTTGCCCTATAAAGTGCCAAAAATTATATTTGATTTAGCTAATTAGCATTTTTTTTCCCCCTATGAAGCGCCACAAATGATGTCCGATTTAGCTAATTAGCATTTTTTTGCCCTAATAAGTGCCATAGATTATGTCTGAACTTGTAAAATGACGCATCCAAAGACATTAAAAGGCAAAAAAAGTTAGCAAGGTGACTGTACTTTCTACTTCTTACATTTGGTTCTCATTTTCTGTGTAGCTGTTTGTTTAATCATTTGATATATGAATGTATTTCTAGTGCTATCTGTGAATAAAGATGGATATTAAATGTGAACGTTTTCTGTCTGTGTTTTTTATCAAGGCTTCTGACTGATAGGAAAAAGGATGATTAATGTTTAAAACACATTAAAAAACAACTTTATTTTTCATTGTATTTTTTCCTCTGATAAACAAAAACTGGTACGCCTCTCATTCTTTCCTTCAGACGTCTTAAAAATGTCTTAAACCCTCTTTACAATTTAGATTCAACCCAGCAGGGGGCAGCGTCTCCTTTCACACATGCAAAGGCTTTTTTTTAATTAAGAGAAATAAAACAGACGCAAATCTTTACAGAAAACTGTTATGAAAGCAAATTTGATATGACAAATATTAAATATTTGTGTACTTAATCCTGTTTTTTGGATAAATGTGTTTTTTATACAAGATGTGTTGTGTTAAAGGGCCAAACTTCGATGTAAATTACAGTTTTTGTTGTGCGTTTGTGCTTTTTGATGACACAAATGTAAGGAAAATAGACTTAAACATTCAGAGAGTGTGTTACAGGCTGTCAAAAGTAGATTTATTTTATGAAGATGATCATTAATGCTGCTGGAAAACAACTTACAAGATGATTACCTTTTAATTAAAGTCTAATACAGAGCTCAAATCTCAAGACAAAAGTTGGAAAATGAGACGGGGGATGTTTTTTCTTATGTTAACAGAACTGGAAAGCATTCAAAAGAACACATTTATAATTGAATGCAATGACCGGGGCTTTTCTTTGATTATTTTACTTGTGGAAAAAGCCTCAGGAAGGAGTTTGAATCTTTAAAATGCACTGAGAGGAGTAAAAAAACGGGAGGAAATCCCTGGAACAGAGAGGATCCTTATCAGCTCTGAGGCCTCTCCTAGATCTCATGTTTATCCCCGCTAATGGTTTGTTTTTGTGAGGCAGGAACCAAAAAGACTATCAGGAGGAACCCATCAGTCACCAGCTCCTCCGGCCAAACAAAACCTCAACCAGTCGGCTTTCAGCTCCAGTCTGAGTCCGATTCACCAGATAAATCAACACGAAAAAAAACAACGCCCCGATTTGAGGAGATAACAAAGCAGAAGGAAGCTAATATAAAGGCGGGACGTCCTTCCAGAAGCCTGGAGAATCTCCTGGAGACGCCCTAAAACAGGGGTGTCAAACTCTGTAATTATATCTGGCCCCCGGTGTTTTACTGTACATTAACCGCTCATACTACAACTCCCATAATGCCCTGCTGCTGTTCAGGACCCCAAAACTCCTCTGTGACAGTAGGAAACACTACAGCTGTCACTGAAAATGACCAAAAGAAACCCAAAGAAAGAAACAGGAGCTTTCTGGACAAGATAATTTCATTTAGATATTTAATTAATCTTATTTCATAAATGAATGCCATTGATGTGTTTTTTTTATTGAAATGTGATTTTTTACATACGAATATATAGTTGCCTCTTATCAACAAAAGGCAGAAGGAAAACCATCGACAGCATTTTAAATATAAATATATCTATATATATGTATATATGTATATATATATTTTTTTTTTTATTGTGCCTCTTTTCAACAAAAGGCAGAAGGAAAACCACCTGACAGCATGATACATATATATAACGACACTTAACAATATATAACACATACATAATCTCCTATATATATAGTGCGTATATATAGCCTAACTCCTCCACACCACCAGGTAAACCAGGGTGAGGCCCTGATATATAACACATACATAATCTGCTATATATAGTGCGTATATATAGCCTAACTCCTCCACACCACCAGGTAAACCAGCGCGGGGATGAGGCCCTGATATATAACACATACATAATCTGCTATATATAGTGCGTATATATAGCCTAACTCCTCCACACCACCAGGTAAACCAGGGTGAGGCCCTGATATATAACACACACATAATCTCCTATATATATAGTGCATATATATAGCCTAACTCCTCCACACCACCAGGTAAACCAGGGCGGGGATGAGGCCCACGGGGACGGCCGTGAGCCAGACCACCAGGCCCAGGGGGGCGTCCTCAAACGGGTTCTCCTCTCCCCGGGAGCAGTTGCTGAAGAAGGTGGAGTGGACCTCCAGGAAGAAGTCCTGCACGTCCGGGTTTGGGAAGAAACAGCCGACCACTTCGGCCACCTGCTCCAAACACTCGGTCAGTTCATGGTACGGTCTGTGAGGCCAGAGAGGGACGAGTTAGGAAGGATAACGCGAGAAAATCCTGCTGTCAGACTTTAAAATGTGAGTTTCTGCTGCTCAGAGAAGCTGTTTCCAGATCCTGAACTCATGTTTCTGCTTCTGTCTGCAATATCTGCTGGAACAGAGCTGATTTAGTGGAAATCAGAACAGAAATTCATTTATTTCTTTTGATCATTTATGTGACAGGCTGTAGCTAATTAGCATATTTTGCCCTATAAAGTGCCATAAATGATGAAAGTGCCATAAAAAAATAGCCTTGTTTGGGCTAAAAAAACCTCAGCTTAAGGTAGATAACGGTCTCGGCAGAAAACACAATCGGGAAGTTTTATCTGTTTAGGATTCAGATCAGTGAGTTAATTCAGACTTATGTGGACATCTCCTTTTATTAAGCGGCCTTCAGCCTTGTTTTGGCTAAAAAACTCAGTTTGAGGTAGAAAAACTGCCTCGATTTAACCAAAAAAGTCAGTTTGAGGCAGAAAAACAGCCTTGTTTTAACAAAAAAGTCAGATTGAGGCAGAAAAACAACCTAGTTTGAACTAAAAAAGTCAGTTAGAGGCAGAAAAACAGCCTCGTTTTGGCTAAAAAACTAAATTTGAGGCAGAAAAACAGCCTCGTTTTAACTAAAAATGTCAGTTAGAGGTAGAAAAACAGCCTCGTTTTGGCTAAAAAAGTCAGATTGAGGCAGAAAAACAGCCTCGTTTTGGCTAAAAAACTCAATTTGAGGCAGAAAAACAGCCTAGTTTTAACTAAAAAGTCAGATTGAGGTAGAAAAACAGCCTTGTTTTAACTAAAAAAGTCAGTTTGAGGCAGAAAAACAGCCTCAAACAGCCTAAAAAAAACTCAGCTGGGTCTGAACTCTGATTTCGGGGCGGATTGGAGGTTGTGAGACTGAAACTGCTGAAACTATTGTGTGAAACTGGTGCGGTGGAGCTGCTTCCTGCTGGAGGAACAGAAGATCAGGCCGAGGGCAGATAGCATCGACAGGAACTGACCGCTCAGCCACTCCTGATGAGGGACGATTTCCCCCGGAGACACTTTCTCTGTTCTCCAAAGCTCAGTCCTGTGACCGATAAAGAAGTCAGAGGTAGAAAACGGCCTCGTTTTGGCTAAAAAAGTCAGATTGAGGTAGAAAAACAGCCTAGTTTTGGCTAAAAAAGTCAGTTTGAGGCAGAAAAACAGCCTCGTTTTAAGTAAAAAAGTCATTTTGAGGTAGAGAAAGAGCCTTGTTTTGGCTAAAAAAGTCAGTTTAACGTAGAAAATTGTCTCGTTTTGGTAAAAACGTCAATTAGAGGAAGAAAAACAGCCTCATTTTGGCTAAGAAAGTCATATTGAGGTAGAAAAAGAGCCTAGTTTTGGCTAAAAAAGTCAGTTTGAGGTAGTAAAACGGCATATTTTCTGCTAAAGAACTCAGTTTGAGGCAAAAAACGTCCTCGTTTTGGCAAAAAAAAAACTTTTAAGGTAAAAAATGTATGTTTAGGCTAAAAAACTCAGTTTAAGGTGGACAAACAGCCTCATTTTTGCTAAAAAAGTCAGTTTGAGGTAGAAAAACTGCTTTATTTTGGCTTAAAAATTAAAATAAAGGTAGAAAACCAGCCTCTTTTGGCTAAAAACACTTAGTTTAAGATAAAAAATTGATGTTTAGGCTAAAAAACTCAGTTTAAGGTAGACAAACAGCCTCGTTTTTGCTAAAAAAAAGTCAGTTTGAGGCAGAAAAACAACGTTGTTAATCTAAAATGGTCAGTTTGAGGTAGAAAAACAGCCTCGTTTTGGCTAAAAATCTCAGCCAGCAGATGAAACCAGCTCCCTGTCCTTGTTTCTTAATTACGTTTTTGTACTTTTAACTGGATTAGATCTTTTCTTTTGGCCCCCGGGGACTCACCGGATCACGGCCCCCAGGCGGCACCAGCTCGCGGCGCCCGCGGCGGCCATCTTGGCGAAAAAAGGCTCGCCGCAGTGGATCCGGTTCAGGTGGACCAGCAGGTCCCGGCTGCAGGGGGGACCCCCGGGACCCCCGGGGGGACCCCCAGGGTCCTGGAACCGCTCTGCAGGGACACACGCCTGTCAGGACCACATTTCCCATGATGCAACAGCTGGAGCTGAGCAGGGTTTGGAGTCTGAGATTATCAGGATTTACACAGGAAACTGGACAAGAACAAATCTGGTTTAATACACACAT